TAGTCCTAGATTAGACCTGTTTCAGGTCTAGTTTACTTCTGGTTCAGTCCTGGTTTAGTTTGGGTTTAGAGTCTAGATTAAATATTGTTGTTGTATGCACAGTTTAAACGAACAAGGTCTAAAGCTCGGACTGAACCAGGACTAGAACAGGTCTAAGCCAAATCCAATGAATTTGATCTGATCTGAGACAGAGCAGGGGGCGGGGTTTGTTGTTGGGGGTGTGGTTTGTTGTTAGGGGTGTGTTTTTTTGTTAGGGGGTGTGGTTTATCCTTAGGGGAGGATCATGTCTCAGGTGAACCGGCCGGACAGGTGAGACTCTGTCAGCACACGGTGAGTTTTTAATCTCTTTTCAGTCGTATCTTAAAGACAAATAATTCTGAAACATTTGGATCACTTTAGGTTTATTTATGTTTTAGGACAAGATTGTTTGATTGGTAATACTTTTCAATATTCAATTCAATATCTTAAGTTTCAAATCTCATTTATACTTTAAACTGAAACACAATAAAACAAGAATGAAATGGGTAAATAAATCCAATTCTGGGACCAGTCTTTTCAGCTCATGTGGTTGTTGTTATTTCATTGTATTGAAGTATGATTTCTCTAATGTCGACAAATGTGTTATTTAACAAAGAGTCATCTTCAGTCGTATCCAAGACAAGTTTGAACCAGTCAATAAAAACAAATGTAGAATCTATAACACGCGACGAAAGGAATGTGGACAAACGAGAACCAAAGACACAATTAAGGAATCTGACGCTCAAGGGAGGGAATCTTTTTGTTTTGCAGGACGGTGGAGAAGTTTTCAAAAAGTCAGAGCTCTGATAACGTATCGACCCTCTCCAGAGATGGACGACCTTCTCTGTGTCTTAGGTCAGTCTCTTTCTGATCAGCGTCCATCCTTCACTTCCTTCATTTCCTATCAGACCTCTCTGTGTCCGCTCTGTGACCTCTGATTTCTCTGTAACTTTTCACTGCAGGGACACAGACCGATCCAGATCTGGGCCCATCTCTCAGTCCTTAAAGTCCAACTGGACCATGGAACGTCCTGCGGCCTTCAAAAAGGAGGTCCAGACTGGAAACAGGTGAGGATCCCAGCTCAGACCCGGTCCTGACCACATCCTGTTCAAACAGAACACTATCCTCGACCCAAACGCAGCTCCAAGACAAAATCCAGATGTGGCCCACTCCCCACCAGAGACCCTTCTATGAAGCCACCTATTTTATTTAATAAAGAACCCACATTACCAATTAAATTCATTCAATTCAGTATTTGATATTTTTGTCCTTCCTCCTTAAATCAAAATCATGTCTAAAGTTTCAAATCTCAGTTACATTTTACAGTTTCAGATGAAGAGCTTTGAGAGTCTTTCTTGACAGGTCAACAATCTACCAAAGAGGAGTATATATAGACGACCCTGAGGTGATTAGGGAATGAGAGCTGCAGGAAAAGGAGGACCGGAACAGACTGGGAAACGGAGCTGGACTGGGGAAAACATGTAAACAAAAGGCAGAACTGTGACAGGCAGGGCATCTGACACACTTTGTTTTGCAGGACGATGGAGAAGTTTTCAAAAAGTCAGAGCTCTGATAACGTATCGATCCTCTCCAGAGATGAACGACCTTCTCCATGTCTTAGGTCAGTCTCTTTCTGATCAACGTCCATCCTTTTTCTTCCACTTATCCGGGGCCAGGTCAGTCTGACCAGTGAGGCCCAGACTTCCCTCACCCCGGACACTTCCTTCATTTCCTATCAGACCTCTCTGTGTCCGCGCTGTGACCTCTGATTTCTCTGTGACTTTTCTCTGCAGGGACACAGACCGGTCCAGATCTGGGCCCATCTCTCAGTCCTTAAAGTCCGACTGGACCATGGAACCTCCTACGGCCTTCAAAAAGGAGATCCAGACTGGAACCAGGTGAGGATCTTAGCTCAGACCCGGTCCTGACCACATCCTGTTTAAACAGAACTCTCTCCTCGATCCAAACATAGCTCCAAGACAAAATCCAGACACTGCCCACTCCCCACAGAGACCCTTCTATAAAGCCACATATTTTATTTAATAAAGAATGCACATTAACCAATTAAATTCTGTATCTGCAGCATGTATTTGTGAATGTAAAAGGCTAAGGCTCAGCTGCTTTATAGTTCTTTGTTTCATTAGCTTTTCTGGCCCAAAAGCCAGAAAGTTGTTTTCTTTTGTTTTGCGTAATTTAAGGTTTAGGACAAGATTTTTTGAGTTGTAATACTTTTTCAATATTCAGTATTCAATATTTTGTCCTTGTTTCATTCAAAAGTGTAAGGCTCGGCTGCTTTATAGTTCTTTGTTCTTAGTTCTTAGTTCTTTGGCTTTTCTGGCATGAAAGCATCAGTGACCAGGATAGTTTTTTTTTTTTGCATAATTTAGGTTTTAGGACAAGATTGTTTGATCCGTAAAACTTTTCAATATTCAGTATTCAATATTTTTGTCCCTCTTGCTTCAATCAAAAGTATTTCTAAAGTTTCAAATCTGATTTACATTTTAAACTGAAACACAATCAAAGAAATGAGTAAATAAATCCAATTCTGGGATCTGGGTGTTTTCCGCTCATGTGGTTGACGGTTGAATTGTGATTTCTCTGATGTCGACAAATGTAATATTTAACAAAGAGTAAATTTCAGTCGTCTCTAAAACAAGTTTGAAACAGTCAACAGAAATAGAGGGTGGCATCTCTAAACCAGAACCCAACATACAATTAGGGTAATTAGGGAGGAATCCAGCTCACAGACAGTGTCACGCAATTAAACTGGACTCAAATACAACACAAGTATACAGACAAAGAGAGTCTTAGTTCAATAACAAAGTGTCCTATAACAGGTAATCTTAAATATGGCAAAAGGAGTATATGATTTATTTAAAGTGAACTAAAACAACTTTCATAACTGGGAAATGGTCTAAGTAAGAAATATGCTGGGAATAAACTCAAACAGATACTGAAAACAGGGAAAAAAATCAGAATGACACAAAATTTGAACAACAGAATTCAGGTTCAGAGTTTCAGATGAAGAGCTTTGAGAGAAAACATTAGAAAACATGTAAACAAAAGGCAGAACTGTGACAGGCAGGGCATCTGACACAGTTTGTTTTCCAGGACGATGGAGAAGTTTTCAAAAAGTCAGAGCTCTGATAACATATCGATCCTCTCCAGAGATGAACGACCGTCTCCGTGTCTTAGGTCAGTCTCTTTCTGATCATCGTCCATCCTTCACTTCCTTAATTTCCTGTCAGACCTCTCTGTGTCCGATCTGTGACCTCTGATTTCTCTGTGACTTTTCACTGCAGGGACACAGACCGGTCCAGATCTGGGCCCATCTCTCAGTCCTTAAAGTCCGAAAGGTCCATGGAACATCCTACGACTTTCAAAAAGGAGATCCAGACTGGAACCAGGTGAGGATCTTAGCTCAGACCTGGTCTTGACCACATCATGTTTAAACTGAATCTCTGGACACAGTTCCACTATTCTCATTCCAAACATAACTCCAAGACAAAATCCAGATGTGGCCCACTCCCCAGAGAGACTCTTCTATGAAGCCACCTATTTTATTTAAAAAAAGAACTCACATTAAATAAGTAAATTATATATCTGCAGCATAATGCAAAAGTCTAAGGATCAGCTGCTTTATAGTTCTTTGTTTCATTAGTTATTCATTAGTTGTTGTTATTGTTGTTTTTGTTTTTCCATAATTTAGGTTTTAGGACAAGATTGTTTGATCCATAAAACTTTTCAATATTCAGTATTCAATATTTTGTCCTTATTTCAATCAAAGTAATTTCTTAGCTCATTTACATTTTAAACTGAAACACAATGAAACAAGTCAAAGAAATGAGTAAATAAATCCAATTCTGGGATCAGTCTTTTCAGCTCTTGTGGACGGTTGAATTATGGTTCCTCGATAAATGTAATATTTAACAAACAGTAAGCTTCAGTCGTATATAAAACAAGTTTGAACCAGTCAATAAAAACAGAGGGTAAAATCTCTAAACCAGAACCCAACGTACAATTAGGGTAAATAGGGATGAATCTGGCTCACAGGCAGGGCATCTGACACAGTTTGTTTTTCAGGACGATGGAGAAGTTTTCAAAAAGTCAGAGCTCTGATAACATATCGATCCTCTCCAGAGATGAACGATCTTCTCTGTGTCTTAGATCAGTCTCTTTCTGATCAACGTCCATCCTTTTTCTTCCACTTATCCGGGGCCAGGTCAGTCTGACCAGTGAAGCCCAGACTTCCCTCACCCCAGACACTTCCTTCATTTCCTATCAGACCTCTCTGTGTCCGCTCTGTGACCTCTGATTTCTCTGACTTTTCTCTGCAGGGACACAGACGGGTCCAGATCTGGGCCCATCTCTCAGTCCTTAAAGTCCGACAAGGTCCATGGAACATCCTACGACTTTCAAAAAGGAGATCCAGACTGGAACCAGGTGAGGATCTTAGCTCAGACCCGGTCTTGACCACATCCTGTTTAAACAGAATCTCTAGACACAGGTAGCAGTTTTGCATGTTCTCCCTTTGTCTGGGTGGGTTTCCTCCGGGCACTCGAGTTTCTCTCATCAACCCAAAACATGCACCATAGGTAATATTCTCCAGCAGAGGTTATCTTGACCAAGCCTAACAACAGGATCACGGAGACAAGTCCCTGGGCACATGTTGCCCAGTGCCAGGCTTAGTTTTGTTATGGAACGACTTGAGGCCTAAGCTTGAGATGGAGCTGGCTTCATCTCAGGATAAACTTGTTAAGTGAATTTGATGAAATACCTCTGATTATGCTTTATTTGTACATTTATACTTTATTTGGTACAAAGATATTAACATTTACAATGGGGGTCTTGTTTAACTGATACCAGAGAGATAAAACTGTACCTATGTTATCTGCAGTTTGGAAGAGACGCACCCAGAGCTTCAGCCAAGTGGCCCTGATAGTGGGACTATTTTTAAGGTGAGAGTTCTGAGCCTCTGATACATGAGTCACAAAGAGCAACAAACAGACACTGAGACGAAGAACAGAGACACAAACCTGCGTCACATCTGTAGACCACTGACCCAAAGACTGGGTCGCGACCCTAAAGTCCAGTTCTCAGTGCCTTGCCTAACCAGTTTTCTCTGGGAAACACTGATTACTGTTTTTCCTTGTTTAAAACTTGAACTTTGAGTACTTGAGTATTATACCAGTACTCCGTACTGTACCCAACTATGAGGCACATTTAAAATCCCTTAATTTTCAGAAAAATCGACAGTGCGCCTTTTAATCCGGTGCACCTTATGTATTCATTCTGGTTGTGCTTACTGACCTCAAACCAGTTTTCACACATATTCCACTGAGTCGTGTTCTTTAGTTCAACAGAAGTTGAACCACATCAGCACAAGGAGCGAGCTGTGTTTTTTTTTAATCGCTTATAGTTTATATAAATGAGGTTTTAATTTCTGTAAAACATAAACAAATGTGCACAAAGCTGCATTAACACATTATTATTCAGTGTATATTTGAGTTGTCCTCTTAGGAAATAAAAAGTCTCAAGGCTCAAATGTCGTCCGTTTGTTTCACTTAATGCACATTATCATCCGGTGCACCTTATAGTCCGAAAAATACAGTAAAACTGATTGTTAAGAGAGACACGATCACTCAGTCAACAATAAAATATCCTCACGAATGTTCAATAATGGTCACAAATTTATTTTGTGATTTACGAATAATATCTATTGACTTGAGTCACGAAGATTTGTGATTTTTAAAATATATGTCCCCAGAAAAAAAAGTCTGGGAAATACTGCTGTAGAAAAGGACACAGAGAAGGAAGAACAGAACTATGAGAGTGGATTAAAGGCACAGGACACACACTAACCAAGGTGCACTTGAACAAAATCTGATTCTCATTCTCTTATGTTACAGAAACTGGAGGAGCGAATTTTAATTTTTGTGCAAACTGAGCTAAGTAGGTTACAGGAAGTTCTAACGGCAGAGGAACCAGAGTCTTTGGCACTTGAGAAGGAGGATGAGGCAGAAATTAAAGATGCCTTTCTGAAGATCGCCCTGAGCTTCCTGAAGAGTATGGAACAGGATAAAATAGCGGAGCATCTGCAAAACAGTGAGAAACTTCAGTCGGTGTTCTGTCAATGTCTCTTCATGCCAGTGTGTGACTTCATATTTACACTTCTGTTCCAGGACAATGTGTTTTCAAATGTCAACGTGAACTGAAATCTAATCTGCGGCACAGATTCAGTCGTGTGTTTGAGGGCGTGGCTAAAGCAGGAGACTCCGTCCCCCTGACCCAGATCTACACAGAGCTCTACATCACAGAAGGCGGCGCCTTAGAGGTCAACCTGGAACATGAGGTCAGGCAAATGGAAACCATGTCCAGGAGACCATCCACTACAGAGACCACCATCGCATTTGAAGACATCTTTAAACCCCGCCCACATTCACCAGAGAAAATTAGATTTGTGCTGACGAAGGGCGTGGCCGGCGTGGGGAAAACAGTGCTGACTCAGAAGTTCAGTCTGGACTGGGCTGAAGGCCGGGCCCAGCGGGACCTCCAGCTGCTGTTCCCGTTCACTTTCAGAGAGCTCAATGTGCTCAGAGACACACAGTTCAGTCTGGTGGAGCTGCTGCACCACTTCTTCAGTCCATCCAAAGATCTCTGCAGCTTCCAACAGCTCCAGGTGCTCTTCATCTTTGACGGTCTGGACGAGTGCAGACTTCCTCTGGACTTCAGACGAACCCGGGACCTGAGCGACCCCACAGAGTCCGCCTCAGTGCACGTGCTGCTGGTGAACCTCATCAGGGGGAACCTGCTTCCCTCCGCTCGCCTCTGGATAACCACACGCCCCGCCGCGGCCAATCAGATCCCTGCTGAGTGCGTCTCCATGGTGACAGAGGTGCGAGGGTTCATCGACCTGCAGAAGGAGCAGTACTTCAGGAAGAGGTTCAGAGACCAGGCCACAGCCATCATCAAACATATCAAGAGCATCCACAGCCTCTACATCATGTGCCACCTCCCGGTCTTCTGCTGGATCCTCTCCACAGTTCTACAGAAGCTTCTAGAACAAACGGAGACACCAGAGCTGCCCCGGACTCTCACACAGATGTACATCCACTTCCTGGTGGTGCAGACCAAAATCCAGAACATCAAGTATCACCAGGGAACAGGGGCGGACCTTCACTGGACTCCAGAGACCAGGGAGATGGTGTGGTCTCTGGGAAAACTGGCCTTTGAGCAGCTGCAGAAAGGAAATCTGATCTTCTACGAGAGCGACTTGAGTGAGTGTGGGCTGAATGTGGAAGCAGCCTCCACGTACTCCGGAGTGTTCACACAGGTCTTTAGAGAGGAGCCAGGCCTGTACCAGGACAAGGTCTACTGCTTCATCCATTTGAGTTTGCAGGAGTTTCTGGCTGCTCTTCACGTCCATCACACCTTCTACAGCTCTGGGAAGAATCTTCTTCATGACAGATCACCCTCTTTCTTTGAAAAATCTTTCAGAAGAAGGCCTGAAGTTCTCTACCACTCTGCTGTGGACCAGGCCTTACAGAGTCTAAACGGACACCTGGACCTGTTCCTGCGATTCCTCCTGGGGCTGTCTCTGCCGACCAATCAGAAGCTGCTGCAGGGTCTGCTGACTCAGACAGGAAGTGAACGGACCAATGAGGTGACAGCAAAGTACATCAAACAGAAGTTGGATGAAGAGGGTCTTTCTGCAGAGAGAAGCCTGAACCTGCTCCACTGTCTGAACGAGCTCAACGACAACAGTCTGGTGGCGCTGATGCAGTGGTACATGAGAGGAGGAGGTCACTCTATCAGATACATGTCTCCTGCTCACTGGTCGGCTCTGTCCTTCCACTTACTGTCCTCAGACTCAGACCTGGAGGAGTTTGACCTGAGGAAATACCAGGCCTCAGAGACAGCTCTCCTGGGTCTGCTGCCGGTGGTCAAAGCCTCCACCAAAGCCCTGTGAGTCCAAACTGTATTTAAACTCTCGTGTGGAGGTTCTAGTCTCTAATGTCCCTCTCTGTCCTCAGTCTTTGCGGCTGTGGCCTGTCCCCTCGCAGCTGTCGTCCTCTGGCCTCAGTCCTCAGCTCCTCCAGTCTCACCCATCTGGATCTCAGTGAAAACAATCTTAAGGACTCAGGAGTGGAGACGCTGTGTTCTGGACTGATGAGCACCTCCTGCAAACTGGAGACACTCAGGTGAGAATCCCCCATGATGCCCTCTGCCCCCCCCCGTGTCCCCATGAGTGTAACCTCGTGTCTTTAGGTTGTCTGGATGTCTGGTCTCAGAGAGGGGCGGAGCTGCTCTCGCCTCAACTCTGAGCTCCACCCAGTCCCACCTGAGAGAGTTAGACCTCAGTTACAACAATCCAGGACGTTCAGCCAAGTTCCTGACCGCGCAACAGGACGACCCCAAATGTTCCTTACAGTCTGTCAGGTGAGACCACATTTCCCTCTTCAGTCTGGTCATGTCGGGGTTTCTGGTCCATGGATGATCCTGGTCTATGGTTGGTCCTGGTCTTAAAGAACCTGTATGTTTCAGGCTGGATCCTGCTGGACAGCGCTGGATGGTCCCAGGTCTGAGGAAATGTGAGTCTGCTTTTATTTGATTTATATTTTTATAATTCTAATCATTTTATTTTCATTAAATTCAGATGTTTTTGTGTTTCAGACTCCGGTGAATTCTCTCTGGACCAAAACACGGCTCACAGAAACCTCCTCCTGTCCACAAACAGAAAGAGTCTAACTGTGAGCTACGTGGAGAAGCCACAGTATCCAGACCACGAGGACAGGTTCACAGACTGGCCTCAAGTCCTGAGCTGCACTGACCTGAGGGGGCGCTGTTACTGGGAGGTGGAGTGGAGTGGGGCAGTTTCTATAGCAGTGAGTTACAGAGGAATCAGACGGAAAGGAAGAGGAACGAATAGTCGATTTGGATACAACGATCAGTCCTGGAGTCTGAAGATCCGTGATAAAGAGTACTCCGTGTATCACAACGGAAAAACCTTCGTCAGTGGCGTCTTCTCCTCGTACAGAGTCGCTGTGTTCCTGGATTCTGAGGCTGGAGCTCTGTCCTTCTATGAGGCTTTCTCTGACGGAAAACTGCTCCACCTCCACAGCTTCTCCTGCTCCTTCTCTGAGCCTCTGTTTGCAGGGTTTGGAGTGTGGACTGGTTCTAACGTGACTCTGATTAATCTGAATACATGGCACGGCCTGGAGGACAGACCTCGAACCTGACATGGAGCTCATTTGGAATGAAATTAAAAGGGAGCTGTGACTGCAATACACGCATGAAGAATTTCAGACTTCCGGTCATTGTGCAAGTCATACTGGAAAGGATTTTCCGAAAAAGTGAGCATCAAACCGTCATGTTTGTTTTCCCAGTGGGATGCGTCTATTAACAAAGTCGATCTTTTCTAGTCTTTTCAACCGTATCGCTTTTGTTTCTGATTCTGATATTGTCATATTTTAGTTTTGGGATTCAGACATCGTAATTGTGTGGTTGTTGGATGTCTTGATAGCGGAAAACGGCTTGAGAAATTTGTTTGCGAACTCCATAAATGCAAAACGGAATCAGATGTGTGTGACTGCAAACCTCCATTCAAACTGTTTCTCTTCCCAACGGAATTGAGAAATAGTGAAAGGTAAAGGCGATGGGCAGGATTGATCCACGGGAAGGACCAAAAAGGAAACCTTTGACTGTCTAAATCATCCCGAGTTTGCAGCGAACATTTTATATGTGGAGCTCCATCAAAGCAAAATCCCGATCGCTCGCTCAATCTCGGTTAAAGTCAATGCCAAAGTGAAAGGCACCAGCTGTTCACCAAGAAACACCTTCCACTGCAAAGAGACCAAGACATGATGTTGCTGTAAAACTACAAGAACAAGAAAGTGCAGCTCAGTTTGTTTGTCTTCTGCACCTCTCGATTAACAAACGGGATCCCACTTTGCTGACGCTCCACATACAAAATTTTCGTTGCAAACTCAGGATGATTTAGGCAGTCTTTTTCGTCCTTCCTGTGGATCAATCCTGCCCATCGCCTTCACCTTTCACTATTTTTTAGTTCCGTTGGGAAGAGAAACAGTTTGAACGGAGGTTTGCAGTCACACACATCTATTCCCTTTTGCATTTATGGAGTTCGCAAACAAATTTCTCAAGCCATTTTCCGCTGTTAGGATCAAACAACCACACAATTAACGATGTCCAAATCCCAAAACTAAAATATGACAATATCAGAACCAGAAACAAAAGCGATATGGTTCAAAAGACTTGAAAAGATTGACTTTGTCAATAGACGCATCCACTGGGAAATCAAACATGTAGGTTTGATGCTCACTTTTTCGGAAAATCCTTCCCAGTATGGATTGCGCAATGACCGTAAGTCAGAGATTCTTCATGCGTGTATCAGGGTCATATTTTTGTTTTGTTTTTTTCTAAACCAGGACTGGACCAAGTATGAATGGCATTTATTAAAATAACTACTGATTCATTTAGTTGTTAATAGTTGTAGCTCTTATTGTCTTCTTGTATGAAGCTGACTCACCCCTCGATTCTGCAAGTCAGTTTTTACAGAGGAGAGTAATTTTGTGACAGTTCACAAAACTACCCTCATCTCACCAACGCTCTCTTTTTCCATCACCTGAGCCAAGTCCAAGAGAAACAGAGAGAGAGAGATACTTTATTAATCCTGAGGGAAATTGAAGTTTTGCTGCAGCATTTACAGTATCTCAGTGGCTTTTGTGTCTCAGTCAAAGGTCTCAGTGCAGTTTAACAGGAGCATGGGTCAGGGAGGCTCAGCAGATTCTGTGTTTGAGGAGAAGAAGTGCCAAAAGTGTCCCTCCTCTGTGTCCTGCAGCATCACAGCAGAGTCCAGGTGAACACAGCAGGAAAGGTCTCATTCTTAACTCCGTTCTGGTGTTTCGGTTGGTGATAAGATAATCTTTTATTGTCTCTCATGGGAGAAATTTGTCGTGGGACAGGGGGTCATATGGTTTAACACAAAGAGAAGATAACACAGCAAAAAAAAAGCACAAATATCATAACCATAGACTATAAATAAATAAGAGATCAAATATGAGTGATGCAGGACCTTTAAAGGTTGTATGGAGGATTTTTTTTTTGTTTCAAATTGTCAATGAAAGTTTAAAATACCATTACAGAGACGCAGCAGCCTTGTAATTATGATGACCAAAAAAAAAAAAAAGAATGAAAATCTATCAACTGTGGACATAGTGAGGCCAGGTAAACATCAGCCAATAAATAATGAGGCTGCCTCTTTATCTATTGGTTGTCAGGTTGTCAATCAAACTCCCTAGTGTAACTGACTCGTCGGCGCTGGGATTATGTGGTTTATGCAGCAGTTCTTAGAGACTTTTTCAAACTGTAGTTTCCTCGCAATTTGCACAAAGTTTGTTGCGATGGCAGACGAGAATCCACGACCGGTTCGCCGCAAAAGAAAGTCAGTTTTCAAGGTCGCTGAAAGAAGAAGAGAAGGGGAAAAGGAGCGAAGACAAACTGAGGTGATTCTTGGGGATCTCTTCCAGCGATGGCGCTAAAGAAGCAGGCGAAGGGTCTAAAAACTGATTCATCGGTCACTAAATTACTTCAGGACAGGTCACTTCAACAGTAATTCTGAACCCGCACAGGCTGTAAACAAACGTGATTTCTAGAGTAAAGAGGCGGGAGGAGATGTTTCTACTGAGGAGCTGTGGAGGAGGGAGGTGGTGTCACGCAAAAAAAAAAAAAGGACTGTCGATGTATTTCTCTTTCCTTAAAAAAATCCTCTATACAACCTTTAAGTCACTCTATATAGACAAACCCTTCATTGTTTTATATTCTGTTAATAATTGCTCGTTCTCTAAGCCTAAGTGCAGTTTTGATTGCACATTCCCTACGACTTTTACTTTTATTTTATGACTGCGCTCTCTGAGTTTAGCAGATTGACGTCTAAGACCATGAGTTGGGCCACAGTTTCCTCAAAAAATCTGCTAAAATGAACTAGGAGTCACACAAATGATTTTACCCGCTCTTTTAAAGTTAAGGTAAAAAAGTTGTGATCTAAGTTTGACCGACAAAAACGGTTCATTCCCTCGAAGTGTTTCCTCTAGAAGATTTTCTGCCACATTTGTTGCCACATAAGGTGTAAAAAGTCTGTAGTAACTCAAATGTTCATAGCTTGCTCTTTAGCTTGCCTCTTGCACAGTCTGGATGGACACGAGAAAAACAATTAATTTCACACAATCCAGCAGTGTCTTGTGTTCATTCCATCAAATTATTCTCTCTGAAAATTCTGCCACATTTGTTGCCAAAGACTGGGCCGTTACCCTCAGGTTTTGGGTCGTCTTGTCTCAATCTGCAAGTATACAGTTGTATAGACGGATCTGTATCACCGTTCTAGATCAGTATTTCATCAGAATCTCCAGTCGTCAGTAGGGCCAGTGTTTCTCTGCTTATTCCTTTCAGTATTACATGTATGGGTGAATTGGATTTTCTGTGCTCACAAAAAAAGACAAAACACAGAAAGAGACTGAACGCTGCTCCTGATCTGATCTGCTGCACGCTACAAAACCACAGACATATTGAAATGTTAAAACATGTTTTGTATAATTTGTAATTTTTTTGTAATTATTTTATTGACTATCCTTTTATTTCTGCTTCAGTGACTGTTTTTCATTTTACTAATTGTTCAGAGTCATTCAGTCAACAATAAAATACCCTCATTAATGTTCAATAACACTCAAATCCAGCTTTATTTTATGATTTATGAATAATATCTATTGATAATTGGGTCGCGAAGGTTTGTGACTTTTAAAACGGGTCCCCAGAAAAAAAGTTTGGGAAACACTGGTGAAAAAAAAACTTGTAGTACAGTGGTCCCAGAACCCAGAACTAACCTAGGATTGATTCCAGAACTGAGGAGGAGGACTAAACCAGGACTGAACTAGGACCAAAACAGGACTAAACCAAGACTAAACCAGGACTAATCCAGGACTAACCAGGACTGATTCCAGGACTGAAGAGGAGGACTAAACCAGGACCGAACTAGGACCAAAACAGGACTAAACTGTTCAGTTGTGGCGTGTAGGGAGGATGCTGTCTGGGACCGCTGGATTGTCGGTGTGTTCACAGTGACTCAGTTGTTCAGTCGTGTCTAGAAGCGCTCGCTTTTTCGGTTCGTTCCTCCGTTCCGTTCCTCGTCGGCGTGGAGTGATGAGTGTGTCTGTGGGTGTGTTTCTCTGTGCGGTCGCTGTCTGCTCCGTGTGTGTTTGTATGTTCTGCGGGTGGTGCTGCTTTGTCGTTTACTGAAGTTGTGCTGGGACACCTGAGTGGATTCATGTATGGGGCGCTCTGGATTCCTCGTTTTTTGATGGGGTTAGAGGCTTAAGAGTGCATCTAAGGCTACGTTCAGACTGCAGGGCTTAACGCTCAATTCGGATTTTTTTGTGAAATCTGATGTTTTTGCGAGGTCGTTCACATTTCCAGTTAAATGTGACTTGTATGTGACTCCAGTGTGAACATTAAACAGCCCAAAAGTGTCCCGCATGTGACACTGGAGACACGACGACGTCAACCGCAGCGAGCGTCTCTGTGTTTACAGAAGTTGTCCAAACATGGACGCAGCATCGAGCACCTGGAGATTTTAAAGTTCCTCTCGTACCGGAGCCAGAACATGAACAACTTACTTGTTTTAAGGAGGAGATTGAGAAGGAGAAGGACGAGGTTTTTGGCCGTGGTGTTTTTGTGGGACAGAACGTTGAAAGGAACGTGTGGATGTGGAGACGGAGCCAAGAGTGTGAGTGGTGAGTGTGTCTCCAGTAGTTAGATACTGTAATGTTCAAAACGAGCTTGAGACAGTGAACATCAGAACTTCAGTTCACTCGAACTTACAGCACATGCAGTTGCACAAGTGCACCAAAGTTCTGTGACATGTTGTGTCAATGAACTTCTCACACTCTGAGGAGCTGGGACTTGCTGGTGCCAACGACTAGTTTCAGGTTCATGCAGCTAAAACCTGGAATCTGAACTGTGAGACAGACTCTTCTGTGACGCTGTTTAAATCCAGACATTTCTGTTTAACTGTGCACTGAAAGTTCATGTCTCTTTTTTTAAAATCTTCATGATTGTTATGTGATTTGTTTTTATTATGATTTTAATGTAATTCAAAGCACTTTGAATTACTTTGTGTATTTGCTGTACAAATAAACTTGTTGCCTTGCCTTGATGGCTTCAAGTGACA